CTGAGTCTAGCATGAGCGTTCACTTTGCAGCTGCTCTTGAAAAAACGCAAATGCACTGGCTTTGTTCTTATCAACAACTTGTTCTCCCTGTGACAGGGCAAACCAGCAACTGCAAACGCTTCTCAATTCTGGCTTGGCGAGCAAATGACACAAGCTGAACCCCCGCGTCTCTGTCAGTTGTGCTGCTTACCTGATCCCTATCCCAGCAGAACAATTCTCTTTTGAACTGTTGACAGCTTAAAGAACCAACACTCTAAATTGCGAAAGCTTTACAAGAGACGGCATACAGCAGCTTGGCTTGAAAACCACAACCACATCTCACATCATCGATAAATAGGGGAATGGGATGGATGCTGGGAATTTGCGTTGACCAGCATGGACAAGGTAAACAAACAGGATGCACGAAAAGATATGCCTTCAGTGCATTCCTCAAGTTCAAACATATTCCTGCTTCCTGCATTAGCAACAAAGTTGCGCCTCTGGAGTGTGTGACAAACACTCCTCTATCATCCATGTCTCCCGAATGCTTGCTTCGAGAGGTGATACGCCAGTAGTCTACTTCAAGACTTCGGGCTTCAAAACAACAAGAAGTCAAGAAGTCAAGTAAGAGGAGGGCCTTGCAATCCTGACCTCTAAGCCCCAGGATACCGCATACCGGAGTATAGGGAAAAACGACTTATTGATTGCATATCTGTTGAAACTGTGTTGATCGAACAGGCTGGGCACTTGAAAGGAGTGAACAGGCCACCAGTTTGAATACTTCTAACTTGTCGGTCTGAACCTGTTACAGGGCAGTATCTATGTCACAAATATATCGTTCCTGGGACCACAAAAACGGCGTATTGGCCCTGGCAAGAGCAACCGGCCCACAAATCTGCCGAAATCTCCGTTGGTGACGAAATCATTTAACGTGGCCACGTCGATTGGAAGTTTCCCTAGGAGATGTCCTCAAATAGCTGTTGTCTTTCACATGCTTTTTCATGGTCTTACCTCGTTTGCATCAAGATGCAAGTGTTGCTTCCAGAAAACCAAGCCTCTGATTTGCGAACATGCCTGCAACCTTTCTGTGGGGAATTGGCAGTTCACTGACATATGTGCCCTACTGCACTGTCACTGTGTGACCTAACACAAGTGGCATACCAAAACTTGGGTCACAAAGAACACATGCTTGGCATACTCAACTGCTTTGTGAAGCAGACATCCTGTCTCTCTATCAATCCAGCAGTGCCAAAGTCCAGCTGCCGAATGTCCATCAGCTACGATCAAAATCCCTTAATGGTATTTGGATAGTGTTTGATTTGGAATCGAAACCTGTGCTATGGGCCAGAAGACCTTGTGTTGAGTATTGAAGAAGCTCGTGAAGAGGAACAACAGTGCGCTGGGTGCTGTAGATGTTCGCTCATGTTAGATCTTACCCAACAAATTCTAATGCTTGGACCCAAAGCAGCAGAGAAGAAGAAAAGGCGGAAACTCTCGAGGCAGAATCATGTTATACATACATATATATATATATCATGATGCGTCATCCCTTCCTCTTCTCACGTTTCCTGCTAAACCAGTTTCATGCGACAGCCCATGATCTCCAGTCGCTGTTCCACAACTGACGAGGCGTCGATACTGAACGGAACTACATCCACCGCTTCGCCAGCAGCGAAAAGCCTCGGGTCAAAGTAACTCTCTCCCTTGACCGCTCAGATTCATGGTATAGAGGTGTAGACCGGTATATCCCATGACCAGTAGCAGTATTAAATGGGACACGCCATGAAGCCATGTTAAGTAATATGATGATTGTTAAAAATGATGTTTAACAAATGCTAAACGTTTTCTCGTATCTGTCAACAAAGTATGGGGCCATTGCCCGTGAGCTGCCCATGTGGACAACCAGGTCGGCGAAACCGCTACAAAACTATGTATATACAAAGCACGCCGCGCCTTCGGAAAACGGAAGACGGAACTTAGGAATTTGGAAACAACACTGGAAGTACTCAAGTATGTCACACAATGGCTATGTGCGTTCAAAACGATTGACGCCATTCAAAACGATTGACGCCATTGCTGACTGGGGTGTTTCAATCCCACAGCCCTGGCTTGCAGCCTAAACCGCCACAACGCCTCTCACGTGGATGAAGTGATCAGGCAACTCCAAGCCAGTCTCGAATGCCAAAAAAGCCCCATTCCCCACGATGTCGCCGCACAATCTTCTTGAGGATGGGTTGGTTCCGCTGGAGCATCTGCATGGCATCATCAAACTCCTCCAGGTAGATCTTGTGTGTGAGGCCATTGGGGGCTGCTCCACACTCGCTGGACATGTAATCGGTGTATGAACTGAACGAGTCTCGGAAAGGGAGGTGGTCGAGGCTTGACCTTAGACCATGCTCAATGGATTTGGCCTCCACCACAGGCTCTTCCTCAGGAAGCTCGTCATCCTGAGGCAGGTCCTCAGGCTTCAGACTAGGCTTGACATCAGTGAGAAAGAACCCTACTGCATCATGCTGAAGCCACTTTGGAGCCTTGTGGCCGCCCATGGCTTTGCGGTCTTCGCGGAAAAACTAAACTTGAGCCTGAAAAAAATGCTAATGTATATATATATATATACATACACATATATATATATATGTGTGCATATTATAATTGTGAATTTGGTGATGCAGCAACCGTCAGTTCGCGCCGGCGTCCCCGATCTCGGCACGAGTCCGCGGTGGGAGGGAGAGGAGACTTGAGTGACCAGGAGAAACAGGGTTTCACGGCGGCACGGCATTCGGTCGGTAGGTAGGATAGGGTTCCAACCACGGTTACTTTCACATTGGTAGCGGAGCCCCCAAAACATAGGGGGCAAGTTTTCGGGTTCTTACCATTTTGCATCGGGGCGTGCATCTGGTATGTTCCAGAGGGCCATGGCTGGTCGCGATGGTGGGACTGATGCAGGTCCTAGCGAAGGGAGAGGCTCGTTGTCCACGAGCCAGTTGCCTTGGGGCCAGATCCCAAGCTTTGTGGCAGGAGAGTCAGACCTGGAAGATTATGCGAAGAAGCTGATTTTCCTGCGTTCCATATGGCCTGAAGAGCACATCGCTCACCTTGCACCTAGAGCAGCTCTCCAGTGCGATGCTGTATCCTTCAAGAAGGTGTCCAAGATTGATCCAGAACGTTTGAAGTCCAAAGAAGGATGTGATGCACTTCTCACTGCATTAGGTGTCCAGTGGGGTCGCTTTCAGAACGAGGATCGCTATCTGAAGTTCGAGCGAGCATTGTTCCTGACGACTCAGAAGCCGGATGAATCAAACGATTCATACATCGCCCGACATGAGGCGAGCTTTGAAGAGATCCTGCAGAAGGATAAGAGCGTGTCGCTGGAAGAGATCAGGGCATATGTGATGATTCGTCATTCCCAGCTCACAGGTGAAGAGAAGAAGCGCAATATCGTCGACAACAAGGGCATCCTGACCTATGACTCAACCCGGGATGCAATGAGATTGTTGGGGTCGCGCTTCTTTCAAGACCTTCAAGGCGCAGGGGGTAAGAAGTGGAAGACCTATGATGCACACACAGTTGAGGAGTCAGAACCAGTCTTCACTTCGGTGGATGAAGGGGTGGATGAGGAGCAGGTCTATCAGACACTGCTTGAGCAGGGTGATGAGGATGCCGTCTTCATCCAGGAGTTTGAGGAGCAGATCATCGAGGCAGTGCAGGACTCAGGAGAGTTAGCAAGCTGTTTCCTGAGTTATCAGGAGGCCCGTGCCAAGCTTCGTGAACGAGCTCGGAATCGAGGATTTGGGCCACCTCGTGGTTCGGGAAAGGGCAAGAGCTTTGGGGAAAAGGAGCACCATTTTCGTCCTCTCGCCGCACCCTTGCAGAGAGGATTGCCAACTCGACCTGCCGGATTTGCGGAAAGCCAGGCCATTGGAAGAGGGAATGTCCACAACAGCGACCTGATCGTCCCGATCGTCCCTCCGAGATGGCAACCATGGCTGAAGAGTTGGAGGAGTTCAACGACCCGGAACTCCCAGAAAACTTGCCGGATGAGATCCAGGAGAGTTCAAAATTCCGTGCCGCATGTTTGTTTAACAAAGAAAAGACTAGGAGTTGTTTGAGTAGTGAAGCCTTGGGTGATAACATGATGCATTGGGGTCCCCACGCTGTTGATCACGTTCACGAGTGTTTTGCTGTTTTTGGGGAAATGAGGGAAATGATGTCAAGAGCCTTGAAACAACATGCAAGGCTTCGCGGTGATTTGATGAAGAGACGTGAAGCCGGGACGCATGAAGCCAAGGGCTTGAGCCAGACTTTCTCCGTGAAGCCTTCAGTGGCCTTTGCTTCAACCCCCTCGGTTGAAATGAACCAGGAAGAGGGAGTAGGTGAGGCAATTTTGGATACAGGAGCAAGCCGAACGGTCATCGGTAGCGAACGGGTCCCGGCACTTGAGAGGGCTTTACGAGGTATTCGGATCGAAAGGGGCCCCTCGAAGTGTGTTTTCCGATTCGGTAATAGTGGCTTGCTCCGAAGTGAAGAAGCTTTGTTCTTGAAACGTCACGGAAAAGGCTGGCTCCGCGTTGAGATCGTGCCCGGAAGCACACCCTTTTTGATATCCAATGCCGTTGTTGAGGGCTTGAAGGGGGTTGTTGATGTTCATCAGGGTTTGCTGTCATTTCATGGTAGTGATGATGTAATTCATTTGAGGCGAGTTCGAAAGAAGTTGTGTTGTTTGAAAGTTAGGGATTTGTTGAACGTGCGTTTCTTTGAAGCAGGGGAGAGTTGTTTGCATGTTCACACAAAGAAAACAACACAGACAGACATACACACCCACCCGGACGTGCATGAAGAATTTGAGCACACCACACCAGACGGACGTAAAGAGGACGGAACGTCCCAACAGACCACAGACTTGATACAAAGCAGTGCCGAACCACCAATCAGTCGAGAGATCCATGCAGCCAGTGGAGCGAATCAAGCATCCAGCACCGAGTCCGTGTTCGAGAGCGTGAAGCATCATGGCCCTACGCAAGATGGTGCCTCAATACCAGTTGGAAGAGCTGTCCGGGGAGGAGGATTGCAGTCTTCGACGGGAGACTCATCAGCCTCTCACCTACCAGTACAAGGTGCCCCCTGGAATTCACAACCTCCAGCAATGGGGAGCCGAGTGTTTCCAGTCAGGAAAGCACAAGGGGGCATCCTTCCAAGACATCTTCGACAAGGAGAGCAGCTATGTGCAGTTCATCCTGAGCAATACTCGGCTGACGGCAACCGACATGCTCAGCTTTCAGAATTTCTGCAAGGCTCAGAAAAAGAAGTTGGCACAGACGATGCAGCAGGGTCCCATTCTTCCAAAGACAACGTCTCATCGCCATTCTGCAATGAGCTCAGGTCCAATCAGCTCGACCCAAGAGCGCCAGGTGCCAGCTCAGATCAGTGGAGCCATGTGGAGATGAACGAGCCGCCTTCCCATCCCAAGAACACCAAGGACAATCTGAAAAGGGGGTATCCACAGCGAAGTTCACCAACACCGGTGAAGGTGGAGGAGAATTCCCAGACCGTGCAGGAGCTCCAGACGCAGATTGCGATTCTCCAGAGGGAACTGGCGAAGCAGACATCTCCCAAAGACGACCTACCAACCACACCCTGAGACGACAGCTGAGGGGTGTGACTAATGCGAGATCACCGAAGTGGAACACCGAAGAGGTAAATAGAAGATGCAAGGAACTCATTTGTACCATAGAGGACGGTTTGTCCACTCTTCCTAAAAAGTTTGTTGGTACGGAATCCAAACCTCAGACTGGTGTTTCAGATCCGGACACAATCGGCCCATTGACTGCCTTGAGGTGTATTGTTTTGCAGACTCCCAATTGACCAAGCAAATCGAAAGTTTGGGAGGGAAAGCAGTGAGATTTACTCGTAAAGATGGCGACCTCACCACACCTGAAGGGGTCAAGAAATTGTGGACGTGGATCATGTTGTATGAACCTACCCATATCTGGGCATCTCCTGATTGCAAGTATTGGGGAGGGTTTTCACGACTCAACATGTCACGAAACGAATACATGGAACGACATATCATGGAGAAGAGACAAACGGAGAAACCCAATTTGAATTTGTGTCATGACTTGTATTGGCATCAGGTGTGTTTGGGTAGACATTTTCATTTGGAACAACCTAGTGGTTCAGAAATGATACAACAGTCAGAAATGTACGACATTGCAACAGGAACGATGCCGGCATCCTTTGATCAGTGTCGGGTAGGGGGTTTGCGTTTGCCTCAGGATGATCGTTTCCTCCGGAAGAGAACTGTTGTGCACACCACATCGAGGATTGTTCATTCACTTCTACATCGCAGATGGTGCAATCAAGATCATGAACATCGACGCATAGAAGGCAGTTTCAAGCATCATGGAGATCGACAATCAGTTTCCGCTTTTGCAGCACACTACACCAGAACATTTGCCAGAACCGTGACTAAAGCACTCATGGAATCCAGTTCCAAACGTGAGGATCCCCTAGCAGTCATGGAACTTTTAGCAGGGTTTGAAGCTTCAGAAAGTGGGCACAAACGATCTCGAGAATCAGCAATTGATTCTCTCCGGCTGAAACGTCATAGGTGCGTGTACAAACAGCCGTGTCCTGCAGCATTTGCACCCGCTGTGGCACCAGTGTCTTGGGAACACATCATGCAAGAGGTCTCCAAGGAGACTCCTAGGGTTGGTGTTCACACAATACGCCAGGGGCCTCTCATGGAAAAAGTTCAATCTGTGATTCCCGAGATGCAGGTACAGCTGATGATTTCATGTCGCGGGACGGACAGATACAGGACCCCTGACAAACAGGACGATAGTCGTAGGCTGACTTTGAGGAAGACGGTCTATATTCATCGAGTTTCGGGTGCGTTTGTGGATGTTGGGGTTCCTGAAGAATGGCAAAAGCTTTCACGTATGAAGAGGGTAGGCAAATGTGGCCCCGCACGACTTTCACTGACTGTGTTTGGGTCCCCATGTTTAGGAGAGGAGATCGTGGACCCTCATCCGGAAAAGGAAACACGTGAAGGGTCAAGTCCTGCCATTTCAGTTCAAGGGGCAATCAGCCTGGGCACCCAGGCCAATTGCTGTCTCTGGACCTTTGTTCTTGAAATTGCCCCCTGAGGAACGGGCTGATATTGTGAGGCTACATCAGAATTTGGGGCATCCCGAGCCAGATTTGTTCCGCAAGTTTCTTAAGGAACGAGGGTCATCAGAGGCAGTGATTGAAGGGGTGAAAGAATTTCAATGCCCAACCTGTCCGGAAAACCAGGGAGCTCCACTATTGGCACGCCCTAGTAGTATTCACCGGGATTTGGACTTCAACGACGAAGTAGGAGGTGATGGGGCTTGGTGGACAAATAGTAGGGGCAGGAAGTTTCATTTCATGCATTTTATCGACGAGGGGACCTTGTTTCATGTTGGAGCACCCTGTGGAAGATCCACACCAGAACAAATTCGAGTGTTTGAGGACGTTTGGCTGCAATGGGCTGGACCATGTAAACTGCTATACTTGGACCCTGCCGGGGAATATGTCAATGATGAATGGAGACAATTCCTCCAGAGGGAGAACATTTGTGTCTCTCTCAGTGCAGGGGAAAGTCATTGGCAATTGGGAAGATGCGAACGCCATGGACAAATCGTGAAGAACATGTTGGATAGGATGAATGTTGAGAGTCCAATTGAAAGTGACGAAGAGTTCAGAGTTTGTTTGAGACAAGCGTTTGCAGCAAAGAATGCCTTAAGCAGAGTTGGTGGATTCTCCCCGGAGCAAGCTCTACTGGGAAAGTCACGACACATTCCTGCCTCCTTGACGGGAGATGAAAACGTTGGAAGCCATAGCTTGGCAGTGAGTGACGACCCAGAGGGCCAATGGTTTTTGAAGTCGTTGGCACGGCGAGAGCAAGCAAGGCGAAGTTTCATTGCTGCTGACAATGACAACAGCTTTCGACGTGCTCTCCTCCGCAGAACTAGGCCTAGCCGAGCTCAGTATCAAAGGGGTGATTGGGTACTATATTGGAGAAGGAGGGGAGTCGGTAGAAAGGAAAGGGGTAGGTGGCATGGTCCTTCCCAGGTCATTGTGGTTGAAGGGAACAAAGTTGTCTGGCTGAGTCATTGTGGCCGACTAATTCGAGCGAGTCCAGAACACCTCAGACCTGCTTCACTGCGTGAATATCATTTGTTGCCAAGGGATGACCAGGGTCAGGTTCGAGACGAGGTTTTGAAAGAGGGTCAAGGGCCTAGGGACTTTGTGGCCTTGGACGAATTTCCTGAAGCAGGGGATATGAGGACTGTTCCTTCCGTGACCGAAGAGGACCAGCCCGAGCTGGAAGTGTCTCCACCATCCACGTTGGGAACTGAGCCTATGGAACCGGAAAGGGAGGGGTTGAGTGAGTATGCACCCACAGATCCTCCCGATGTCGAGATGGATGGAGTGAACATTCCAGTTCCTGAAGAAGTCGATGATGATTTGTTTGCTTTCGGAGATGACACCTTTCTCTCACTGGGAAGTCCTGAGTATGAGTTCTCTTTTAGGGATGGTCCTGTTTTGGGGGAGTCTCAAAGGGATACTGTCTTTTCAGTATGGGAGACGTTTGGGGTGACCAATGCTAAGAAGGAGAAGGTAGAGCTTCGGTGGGACGATCTCAGTGAGAAAGAAAAGGTGCTCTTCCGTGCTGCCAAAGAGAAAGAAGTGAAGGCATGGCTGTCTCATCAGACAGTGAAAAGGGTGGCACAGGGCACTCTGAAGCCCGAAGAAATCATGAGATGTAGGTGGATTTTAACATGGAAGCCACCAGAATCTCCGGGCGGAGAACGCCGTGCCAAAGCCCGGTTGGTGATCCTTGGATTCACAGATCCCGGAATTTCCTATGTCCCCAATGACGCCCCCACGTTGTCCAAAGACGGAAGGATGCTAGTCGTACAGGGAGTGTCGAGTTTTGGATGGGACTTGGTGAGTTTTGATGTGTCAACTGCCTTTTTGAAGGGCGAAGGAGATGGCCGGAATCTAGGGATCCAAGCACCACCTGAAATTGCCACCTCACTGAACATGTCTCGGACAGACCAATGCCAGCTGTTGGGTGGAGCCTATGGTCGAGTCGATGGTCCCTATCTGTGGTATAAGTCCTTTAGGAAGACTCTAGAAGATCATGGTTTTGTGTGCTCCCCTTTTGACAGCTGTGTTTTCAGTTTGGTGACTCAGGGAGAAGGCAAACAACCTCAGGTTCGTGGTCTGTTGGGGATTCACGTAGATGACGGAATAGGTGGAGGTGATAGCTACTTTCACGAAACCCTCGAAAAGATCCAAAAGGTGTACAGTTTCGGGGCTTTCCATAAGAAGAATTTTGTATTTTGTGGAGTGCGGTACTTTCAATGGGATGACGGATCGATTGAGTTGGACCAACGAGAGTATATCGAAAGAATCAATCCGATCCAAATTCCCAAGCATCGCCGTGCAGAGCCATTGTCCGAAGTGACAGAAGGTGAGCGTCAAGAAATTCGACAGTTGTGCGGGTCTCTTCAATATGCCTCAGTCAATACCAGACCTGATCTTTCAGCTAAGATAGGGGAAGTACAGTCGAAGATTACACGAGCGACTGTCGGGGAGATGTTAGCTTTGAATAGGATTTTGCATGAGGCGAAGAGTCACCCGGTGTGCCTGCATATTTTACCCATCAAAGTGGCAGAACTGTCCTTTTGTGCTTTCAGTGACGCCTCCTTCGCGACAAATAAGGACACTGCCTCAAGACAAGGAACAATCATTTTTGCGACTGATCGAAACTTAGACAGGAATATGGTTGGGGTAGTGTGTCCCATAGCTTGGACTTCAAGGAAAATCCCCAGAGTTGTTCGATCCACCTTGTCCGCTGAAGCTGTGGCACTTAGTGCTTCCTTGGATCGGCTCTCTTGGTTGCGCCTTTTTTGGGAATGGGTGAAAAATCCCGGAAGTAATGTGATGGAGCCAGAAGGTATGCTTGCTGAGGCACCCAGGTCATCGGTTGTGACGGATTGTAAATCTGTTTACGACGTTTCAACGAAGACTTCGACACCAACTTGTGAAGAGTACCGGACATGTTTGGAATGCATTCTCATTCGAGAGCGGTTGAGAGAGAACTGTCGTTTGAGATGGGTCAACTCACAAGCACAGCTGGCAGATTCATTAACGAAGGCGATGGATGCTACGCTTTTGAGGCAATGCCTTGCAGCAGGAAAGTACAGTTTGTTTGACGAAGCTGCGACACTTAAAGCTAAAGCAGATAAACGAAACCGCCTAGCTTGGGTAAACAAGGAAAATGAAAAATCGTCAGAGAGTTTGAAGACGTAGAAAATTGGTGGTGTGTGAATTTGGTGATGCAGCAACCGTCAGTTCGCGCCGGCGTCCCCGATCTCGGCACGAGTCCGCGGTGGGAGGGAGAGGAGACTTGAGTGACCAGGAGAAACAGGGTTTCACGGCGGCACGGCATTCGGTCGGTAGGTAGGATAGGGTTCCAACCACGGTTACTTTCACAATAATATAGTATTTATATATATATACATACGTGATAATGGCATTCCCAGTAGCAGTGTCTAATGGGACACACCGGAACACACCATGAAGATTGGGTGAAACCATGAAGCCCCATCAGATACGACGGTTCCCCGACACAACACCCAGCTAGTTTGAGTCCGCCCAACAAACTGCTGGAGCTTCTTGGGTCTGTCCGAACACCCAAAAAAGGACAACAGAAAGAACATGGAAGCCCAACTAACAACCGACTGAAACATGATCGTGGCATTCTGTTCTCTTTTAGTTACTGGAAGTTATTGATTTTAGTTGATTTTGGGTGGACTGATTTGGTCTACGGTCTACAGTATATCCTGCAACCATTTCTACACCTCAACAATCTCGGCCATCTGCTTTTCAGGCCATTGGGTCTTCTTCAAAAAGAATCTCCTCCACTGTCCAGCACATCAAGGTCCAATGCACTACACTTCCGAGGGTTGGCCCCAGAGCAGCACCAACCCCCCCTTGAAAAACGACCATCATCACTCTTTCTCGACTCGGATCACACGCACACGCTCCCGCACTTCTGTGGGCATCTGCAGCAGATCAAAGCGAAGCCCCGCCAGGATGGTGCCCAGAGCGCTGTCCTCAATCGCCCAGGCCTTCCAGCTCAACGTTGAGAGCTCCCCGACACCGACGCCTGCCGGCCGAACTGGGCTGGCTGGAGGAGCGACGGAAGGGGAGATGGAAAAGCCAGGGGAGCCTTTTGGAAGGGCTTTTCTTTGCAAGAAATTCCAAGCCACCCAAGAGTATGAGATGGGCACTGACCACGTGGTAGCTTCCCTGCTTTCCCAAAGAGAGTATCAGTTAAGACCCAGGACCTGTTCGCATCATCTAAAACCTGGGTCTCCTGGGATTCAAAGGGGAAGATTAAGGATCGTTGACACAAGAGAGGTCGCATGGGGCGTGTGACCCTCAAACTCCAATTTCGGGAAACTGGTCGGATTCCGAAAACGCTGGTCTATCTGGATAGCCCAGTCAGAGACTTCGCTCAGCCCATCCAAATGACAGAGTCGAAGACAAGATTGCTGAGTTGGCCGTCTTGACCAAGAAGAGGAAGTTTGCTGAACAGCAAATGGTTGCCTTACATGTAAAAACCAACAACCAATTCTTGGAACCACTCAAAGATCGTTGCACCTGCCAAGAACGCAGCCAGATCTGCGGACATGGCGTATCCAGAGGCTTCTGGGTAGGGCGGATAGACCGACAAACCCAGGTCGTGACCTGACTCAGCTCCGTGTGTGGGGCCGATCGCGGGTCCGCACCGACGGCAGCTGTGGAGTGTGCACTGCTAATGTTGTTTTAAACAAAAAAAGTTTCAAAACCTTTTGAAAAATGAAGTGACGTCCAGGTGATATCTTAGCCACATTTTTGGTGATGATAGTTGGGAACCCTAAAACAAACAAACTGTGGCTGGCATTCAAAGCGGCTATATCGTATGTTATTCCATTGCGGATTGTAGCTGTCATTCACCAGGACCTCGTTGCCGCGCAGGATGGTCCCCAGGATGAAGGGATGCCGCTGCCTAGCATGGGGGGACCCAAAGGAAGACTCCATAACTAACCCAAAACAAATTGGACAATTTGTTCTGCAAACCATCCAAAAGGCCACCTACTGTCAGCATGGTCTGCTGACCCTGGATGGGTGGTAGTCAGAGAGACCTGGAAGATCTTCGACGCATAAAAACACCAGTCGATGTCAGTCTGATACAGCAACCTGGCAACCTCCAACAAGTCACCAGGGGACCACAGGCAGCAACTTTTAAGCCCACAAAAATCCAACAATCCCTTGGTGGTTGTATGGGTTCCGTGCCTGGTGTTCGCCTCATCCAGCGCTTCAGCACCCACCAATGTACGTAGGCGATAGTGATAGACCTCTCCTCCGGTCACAATCGGCGAAGGCAATGGATCGCAATGAGAAAAGGTGGCGCAATCCCCAGATTCACTGACCTTGGAAGGTCTGGCTTTAGAGACTTGGAAAGCTCACCCAGAGAAATGGAAGACCTCATCACCTGACAGAAAAACATGGACACTCGTGAAAACTACACCGCTCAAGTCACCGCTTGTTCAGCTGAGAGGATTACTCACAAAACGCAGCGGCTTAATTCTCTGAGCGCTAAGGTAGAAGGGATCTCGACCAGATCAACTTCTTCCGGAAGCCGATCCAGTTGAAATACTGCCGGCCCAAGCAAAGGAAACAATACCCTTGTGATCCCAGGCCCAACTCAGCTTCTTGATAGTCGACGCACCTTCAACCTGAACCGGCTTGGAGAGGGCATCTCGTTGATCGCTGCGTAGCTCAAATGTTTGAGCAACGTAGTGTCTGGCCAAGGCCGTCATTTATCTGATTGATTATGACCCTTGGATCATACTAACCAGCTGTCTGGCGAGGTTGCTTGTCGATCTTGCGAGCAGCCTCAGGGAATGCCTGCGGCGTCGCCGCTGAGTAGCCAATTGTAGCAGCTCTCTGCTCAGCGATCGTCTTGCCAGCAACCCGCCTGTCCACGCTAGCAGGAGTCTGTCTGGAGCTGTCACTGATGGAGGCCGACCAGTGGAGGGACAATGCCAGCAACCGGCTCTGCAAAGCAAGCGCTTCAGCAGGAACTAGGACCCTGTCTTTCTTGAATAGCACAATCCTCGGCTCTGTCTCTTCTTCGATTGTCGCCCAGTGAGCATGTATGGCAGCAAACTGGGCGAGCTGCAAAGCCTCACCTGGGCATCCCACTCTTGCAGTCACGGCCCCACGACACATCCAACCGATCTGCTGCAGAAGGAATCTGTCCACATCTGCTCCGAATGAGTCAGGCGAAGGTGTAGCCACAAACCTACACTCAACGCGGCAAAGAGGAAAGTCTCGGAGCAGCGGTTAAGCGCCATATCCCCCAAAAGACAGCGACATGCCACAGCTGAGCAGCCGTGTCCTTGTCAGAGAGGTGGGGCTGCTCTCTGTCACTGGCAGCTGCCTGAGTGGTTGGAAGGCTGCATGGCCATCGAGCACATGGTAGGCTTGAGTAACATGTTGCCGGGCCGCAAGTCGTCACCTTGACTCCATCGAATCAGTTCTGACCATGGAGAGGTTGAAGTGGTATCCACCCGCAGGGGATCTCAGGAGCTAGTGGTCCAATTTGACACTCACCTCGTTTGTCAAGGATCAAGATTGGGCCTTCGCCTGAGAGAGATGGCTCGGGAGGATGGTGTCAAGAGGATAGTGGGTCAGATCTTCTGGAGTCATGCTTCCCAGGAACTCACACAACTAGCGCCGTCCCATCGCGAAGACGCATTGTAGACCTGGCGCTGAAAAGATGAAAGAAACGGCTTGGCCTTTGTTAGCGGGGCCGATTTAGCAGGAGCTGCCTGTCCCTCGGCAGCACGATCGCACCCAGGCCCAAAACACGGTAAAGAACTTCCTGGCGATTGTGCCGATCTTTCGCCAAAATGGCAGCGACGATCGTCAATTGCGATAATGAGATCAAGTACATCAAAGTGGAAACTTTATTGAAAAGGAAGAGGTAAAAACACAACTGAACAGTACACAAGTGACCCAGGTGTACCAGGCCCACCTTACCACAAACACCTCACCAACAACAGGACCTGCTGAAAGCGGATGCTTGTGGCAAGCTAAGTGGGCACCTGTGAGCACCCAAAACAATGCAAAGTCCTGGAATTGGATTTCGGATGGATTCCCTACATTCCATGGATGTGTTTTGCGAAGAAAAGCAAGGAGCCAAAAAGTTTCCAGGAAACATAGAACCGAAAGCCCCCACACAAAAGGCAAAGCATGCCAAACAAAAAGC